GGCGTGGAAAAGGTGCTGCGCGCGGGCCCGTCGCCGCTGCGCGACGAGGTGAACGGCAGTGTGGAGGCGCTCATGGACGCCTGGAAGGAGTTTGACGTGGGCGCACACGGGAGAAAGCAGTAGGACTCGCGTACATCACAAGCACCACAACAGCAACAAGAACAAAAAAAAGACATGCATTGTGAGGGAGTGAGATACATCAGATTGGATTATTATGGTGTTTGCACTCTCACGTCGCGAAGGGGGAGAATAACTCGTTTTATTTCCGGTTACTTATTGATGGTTCCTTTTTTTTTTCTTGCCATTTCCACTTGCTGGTTGAGCATCAATCAATCAATCAAAAAAGAAAAGGGAATAGACCGTGAAAGAAACGCGGGATGTCCGATCCCTGTCGGGGCGCAGTGCCGTGTTCCAAGGGGGGCGGCACCAACACGTGCCTCAGGAGTCTCTGCATCTACTGTCCTAGCCTCTCTGGTGGTCAGGAGACGCGTGCGATGGATAACATCCTTTTTTTCTATCCATCGCACCTGCACGCGAATACACAGATGAACCACGTTGGTTTCTGCATTGGGGTGTCGTGTCTCGCGGAGCGGTTTGCAGCGACAGGGCCTGTGAACGAGATACACATGAGTCATACCACCGTCGCGCTCTGCTGCCCGTTCCCCGACCTCTGGATTGCCGTGGAGACGGCAGCAGGGTACGACAGCTCCTCCGTGGTGCCGATTGTCCGGCGCGGGTTTGACGTCTTTGTTCTACGATACGGCTGGCCCACCGTCACAGCACTCGTGTCACGTGAGGATGCGGCCTCTGCGGATGCCAAAAGGTCGCGTGCGGCTCTTAGGGACTTCTTTGAGAGGTTCACTGTGTTTCTAGAGGCACGCGTGCTGATAGTGGATATCCTCCACAGCGCTGTGCAGGTGGTGCGAGGTGTACCGCAGCCGTTGGCACCGGAAGCGGCGGGTGGGCATGCCAACACAAAGCGATGGAGCCGTCGCTGGGCGGCGGTGGCGGGTGCGGAAAGCCTCCTCGCTTTTCCTGTCGTCATTCGCGCGGCATCACCCTCGGTGCAGTCGATGTGCCACAGTTTGGTGTACCGCCATCTGTCGCTGCTCTCAGCAAAAGGAGAACAGTGCGGCAGCAGCGTCAGCAGCAGTAGTGGAACCTGCGGCAATACTAAAAACTGCACGGTAGGATGGGGGACTGAGTACCACGGCGTGGCCACCCCCATCAGTGCTACAGCGCTGGCGAAGGCAGCGGAGGAGCGTTTGTTGTGGACCTGCTGTCAGTATGTTGTTTTCATTGGTGAAACACTGAAGGTGGTTGCTGCCAATGCACCGCACGAGCTCGTGTCTAAGCTTATCTGTCTGATGCTGATAGAGCCTGGAGTGACAGATTTTGCAGCTTATGGGGAAAATGGGCTGTCGCACTGCTATGTTTGTCATGCGTCAGGCATCATCCTTGTTGTTGTCGTTGATAACAGCTTGTATCGCTCCATACACGAATGTATTGCTACCACCTGCAATGCACTGGCAAGGGACATTGCAGACTTCTTGACAACTGGCGTGTGCACACTGACACGCGAGAGTTGTTTAAGCCCCAGTGAGATGCAGCAATTGGCGCTGACGCGCTTGAACCCATCACATCTTTCCACAGTGGCGGTTTTCAACACCCCAATGCTGGGCCTACCAAAATTTTGCGATAGCAAGTTGACCCTCCAGTGGACCGTCTGGCATGATGGTATGATCGCGGGCTCACCAATGCGCGAGTACCCTCGTGCAGTGCACGTGGTGTTGTCGTCGTTACTGCGTGCGTTTGTGCGAAGTCTGTCAGGTGATGTGGGAGTGGGTGGTCGCGATGACAATGACGCCAACACACGCCACACTACTACTACTACTACTACTACTACTGCTGCTGCCGCCGACGGTGTGGTCTCGGCCTCCATCGACCTACCGCCCACCTCAACGGAGGCTTGGGTACCACTTCGAGACACAGCGTTGCTTTGCGTGATGCGGGAGAATCGTCGCGTTGGCGCCATGGTGTTTTACAATTCGGCGCCCCTGAAGAACTGTTTCGAGGCTGCTGCCGAGCTTCAGCGGCAGATGGCCTTTTTGCTGTGAGGTGCAAACACCTCTTCTTTCATCCCTCACTCCCTTCAGCTGGGCGTGGTTCATGGCACCATGCAGAATCATACGATCCCGGGTGTGGGTCATGCGCAGCTTCACTCCTCATTGCATTTCTCCGTCACTCTCTTCCTTTCCGTCTCGCATTCAAACAAAAAAAATCTTTTTGGTGTGCCTTTCTTGCACTCTTATCGCGTGTGGAAGATAAATGCGCTCACTGCGAGCGACTTGTTGGAGGGACGACGACATGGGGAAGCAAACTGCTACCTTTACTGCCCTGTAAGGTGAGCTCGGCGGGTCGTTTCGAATAATCTGCCATCGCGATGGAGAATCAGCTGTGGCATATTTGAGTCGGGGGATGCCGTGTTGGGCCATGTCTGAGCCTATACCTCCGCCGATGTGGCTCCTTTTCCCCTTCCTGCCATGTTCGACGGTGAGTGAGGCGACCGACACACTGGGACTTATTTCTATCAGCAAGACGATACTGTTGTGCCTGTGTGTAGCCGGCATCGTCAGGGCATGCCGGTTGAGCCTTCTTATCCCGTGCTGCGGCGTGAGAAGAGCTAACAACATTTTCTTTCCCATTGCATCGTTGGCGCTGAGATATAAGCGGTGTACAGTATAAATCAGTGATGGTGTGGATCTCCCATAGTTGCGTTTGTATTCATGTCAACATTTCATTGACTTCAACGTTTAATGCTGTTGTTCTTGACTGTTCTTCTTGCACTGTCATCTATCTCTTCTTCTCCCATGCCTCTCTTGCCTCTGCGCACACGCACGTGCAAATACCCTTTTTTGTTGTGCGCAACGACGCAATCGTCTTGACGTTGGTTTCTTGCAACACAAGTGCAGGCGATGCGAGAGAGCCCCACTCTTCCCTTTTCGCTTGGTTGACGCTGGGGTGATTTGCTCATTTTGCGTGCGTGCCGTTTTGGTGTCCCGCTGCGCCATCCATACAGACCGGCGCACGTCAAAAATAAAGATAAAAGACAAAAAAAAAATAAAGAGACATCAAAAATCAAAAGAAAAAGGACCACGGTTCATGTCCTGGACGTTCCCCATAGTTCCCGGCTATGATGGGCCATGGTCGCTCAAGGACTTTGTTCAGCGGTATTTTTTTGTGCAGCTTTGCTTTGAGGCTTCTCCAGAGACCTCTTGCCCGCCTTCACCGCGGACCGAGCAGCACCTTGTCGTGTGCTCAACTGGTGGCTTCGCTGTCGTGGTATACGTCTCGCTGAGTGCGCCGCCACCGCCAATGATAGTTGGGTTGGCAGCTACAGCTATGGGACAGGACTCCCAACCACGAGTTGTGGACGCGTCGTTGCGTGGGAGGCCAGTGACATCGTCGATGCTGCGGCATGAATTCTGGAACTCGTTCTTTACCCAGATTGGCTCAGCGGCCGTGAGTTTCATCACAATGTGGTGCCCTATGGTTGTGCAATTTGAAGCATTGGGTGGGGGACTGCAGGTGCTGGGTCCTCCGCTGAAGAATGCGGTGCCGCGGGCGGTGAAGCGTTACCGCCGCGTGGAGTGGGTACGGCCACGCAAGGTCACTCGCCTGGAGCCCAAGACGCAACATGACTCTGCTTCCAATGAGAGATCATCGTTGTATTGCCTGAATGTTTCTCGTTTACCTTTGATTGGGGAAGCACCTCAGCGGATGTTTGCTGAAGTGGATCGTGCGGTAGATCCAATGCTTGCACGGCTATGGCATGAGCACCACAGTGTCTCCGATGCCACAACGACCTGGTGTTCGATGACTACAGGGAATGGGTCGATGACATGTGCAGAAAAGTGCTGCGCGTTAACAGTGGCGCAGGAAGTGGTTCACCGTGTGTTTCCCTACACCCTATCAACAAATGACATTGAATCCACTGCCAGTCTGGAGACTGTGAGACAACATCTCACACACATCCTTCACTGTCTGCTGGGAAGTGTGTGCCGAATGAACATTCGCGGGGCCGCCATTAGACATACCGGTTTCTTGGAGGAGCGCAGCCTGACCGCTCATAGCCGCCAACGTCAGCGTGGAGATGAGGACGCAATGCATGCGGCGGCAGTAGTTCCTGTGTCGGAGCTAACGGCGCCGGAGACTCTCATTGCGTCGTATCTCCAAAGCTTACTAGAGACGATGTGGTGGCGCAGTCCTGTCACTGCTGAACGCGTGAGTTTCTGGGGGAACGAACTGATTCTGAAAAAGCTGTGCGATATTGCCTTGGATTGGCTGAGATGTGGGCGTCACGAGGTGTTTTCGCTAAGCCACTTCCTGCATGGGATACCTGTGGCGCAGATTCCGTGGTTGTGCGGTTTTTACACCAAATTCCCTGCACAGAAGCGCCGCTCCATGATTCAGCAGCGAGTTTTTCTCCAACTCATATTCTTCCTATTCCAGCATGTGGTGCCGTTTTTAGTGCGTCGTTCGTTCCACGTGACGTGGTCGTCGAAAACGCCTAATGTGTTCTCCTTTATACCGAAGCCGGTATGGATCCGCCTTGTGTGCCGTGAACTGCGACAGGTGTTTCTGCGACGAGAGGCGAGGACCAACAACGACGGTGCGCATCATGCTGCATTGCCACCAATGGCGCTGGAGCGAGTCACTTCACGTGAGGTTGTGTGGTCAAAGGCAGCCACAGCTGCCAGGGCCACGGTGCCTCTTACCGGTAACAGTGGAAACTCCCCGTTGTTGTATTCGTCTATTCGCTTCCTGCTGGATCGCCGAAAGCTGCGTCCTATCGCGCGGGTCCGTTTTGTGTCGATGCGTTCACTATCAAAGATGGCGAACGGCGTGCGAGCACCGGCGTCTGCCCGAACTTTGAAGACACCGCCACCGACTGCCACCGTGCTGCGCGGTGCCCTGCGCTGCCTCCTCGCCGGTGTGGAGGAGCATCGCGCGAGGTCAGGCCTGGCGCGTCCCATCAATGTGTCCCATCAGGATGAGTACACCGAGATACGCTCGTTTGTTGAAGAGGCACGGCGCTTCCGCGAGAGCCCGCTGCTACTGCCAACATGTTCCATGCCCTCCACGGTGCCTCTGGAGTGTGTGGCGGTGACAATGGTGCGCGGGGATGCGGCACGTTGCTACGACTGCCTTCCACAGGACGCGGTAATGGATGTTGTGCATCGCCTGGTTCCGCATGAGTTGTACTACACATTGTGGTTGACTACCATCGCGCCATCACCAAGTGGTGGAAGAAGCGGTGGCTCAAGGTGTGGTGCCGAACGGCAGAGCCCATCCGAAACAGGAGTGGGCGAGTCGAATGATGACGTACCGCTGCACCAATCTACACGGCAGCAAACATTTTCTGACAAGTGTGTGCAGGCAGGCGTGATCTCCGGCATCGCAAGGGGCTGTATTGTCTACGAGGAGAGTTCACTTGGCCCCGGCTCCACTGTTCGTGGAGATGAGGTGCGAAGCAATTTAACGCAACATTTGCAGGCTCATTTCGTGGTGATTGATGGCAAGCTTTACATGCAGAGGGTCGGCATCACACAGGGATCCGCGGTGGCGATGCTGCTTTGTGACACGCTTCTCGAAACAGTGGATTTATCCCTCTCTAACATTCTTGCGGAGCATGAGGAGCCTGCGCTTCTTCTGCGGCGAGTGGATGATGTTTTGGTGGTGACGCTTTCACGTGTCGCAGCCGCACGTTGTGATGAGGCACTTCGCTGTGGATGGCCCCAGTTGGGCTTCTCATGCCAGCGAGAAAAGTTGCGATGCAGCAGCACCACGCCTGTGGCATGGTGCGGCCTGCTCTGGGACCCAACGACACTGCAGTTCAGCGTGGAGTGGGCACGTCTGGCTCCGCTGCTCCCTAACCTGGCAGTGCGTCCGAGGACTGGTAATGAGCTGCTGCTTTGCTCGATGCGACTTATGAGCATCCTCTGCCTCCGCACACCACTGACAGTACTCTGTCGGCGTATCAACACCAAAGCTCGCGTGGTACAGACACTTTATGAAGTAGGCATCCTTTGGTCACGTTTCGTGCTGCAAAAAATTGTTGAAAATGCACCATTCATGCGCCCGCACGTGCGCACCTTTCTGAAACCCCTCGCATTGGCTGTTGTATCGTTACGTCGACTGGTACGAAGACAGAGGAACCGTCTTGAACAGCTGGGTTCCTTCTGTGACGTCACACATGACGAGGTGCAGCTATGTGTCCTTGCTGCCCTGCGGAACACGCTTAAAGAGCGGCTCCCTTGGATGATAGCTCGAACGCATCGACATGGCGGCGATAAATGGAAAAGGTTTCTGCTTATTATATCAGCAGTTGTTCAACGAAAACTGGAGGTGGTGCTCTCAGCGGTAGCTGCATTTAATGAGCGCTGTACGGGTGCTGGTGGTGTGGCTTCTGCTAGTGTTGATGACAGTATTGCTGGTGTTGGGGCGCTACTTATGGCGGAGGGCCCTGGAACCGTCGTTGCACGCGCCCTTGAGGCAGTGCAGTTCGGTGCTTCACGTGGTGCAGCATGTCACAGGGATCAGCGTCCGCCATTGAATGGAGAATAACGCCGACTTTGGGAAGTTGGTTTTCTGTTTGCGGACCTCCTCATACATGAGGTGGTCTTTGTGTGGTGTCTATGTCTATTACAATTATTATTATTGTTATTATTATTATTATTATTTCCTTCTCTGCGCTCATCGTTGTTCCCCTTATTGGGTCCTCCTCCTCCTTCTCTTCTTCCTTGCCATCACCCCGCCCTCCGCTGCCGTAAGGAAAATGGAGGACACTGGAGCCATTGGCCAGTGGTCCTCTGGCGAGCAGCGGCCAAGCGAAATGCACGACACAATCAGCAAAACATCCGTACCAAGTGCCACTGGCTCGTCACTGGTGCTGCCCGCCGGAACGCCCACCTTAAAGGACACACAGCAGTCACAGGGAGACGCTGCAGCACAGCATGCGGAGCGAGGCGCGCGTCCCAGCAAAGCAGATAAACGGTCCAGCAAATCAACAACGAAGCTGCCGCCAATTGCAGGCAAGCGGAGTAGCCAACGTGGCAGCTCCACCCAAGCAGCAGGTGCGGCTGCACCGACGCGGCCATCATCGATGTCGCGGAAGAGCAGGAAAGCAACAGGCTCTCGCTCGTCGACCCCTGCTAGTATGAAAAAGAACGCCCGTGCTACATCCTCCGTTTCGCGGGGAAGCAGCCGCGCCTCTTCCGCCAGGAAAAGCGTGAACCGTAAAGGCTCAACACAGCCGCGTAAGTCACGATCGGCGAGTGCGTCGCGCTCCCGCGGTGGTTCGCGTGCGTCGTCGTCGTCGCTGCGCCGCAAATCCACAAAGGTAAAGGGCGGCAGCCGCCCCACCAGCCGGAAGGGGTCGTCACGGGGCAAAAAGGGCAAGAAGGGAAAGCGACGCTCAGTGTCACCGCGTGCTAGCGGAAAGGATGACGCAATTTGTGTTATGGCAAGTTCACTGGCTGTAGCAGAGACAGTAGGGCGAGAGGCCATCATCGGCGAGGAGGAGCTTGCGCGTGATGTATTTCTGCCGGACTATCACCTTCTCGTCATGAATATAATGCGCGCGCAGATGACGCAGGTGGACCAGCGGCAGCAGTACCTCAACGACACATTCAAGGCGCTGCAGGCCCACGGCGTCCACTTGGTGGCCGGCCAAGACCCCAACATGGCGGTCGAGATGCTGCGGGCGCAACTGCAGTCAGAAATGCGAAAGGAGACGGATCAGCTTCGCATGGAGATCGCCTCGCTTCGAGGACTCCTGGATGAGAAGAAAACAGAATTGGAACAAAAAACTGCAGAGGCGCAGGGCCTGCGGGACAAAATTAACCGCAAACTTATGCGATTTGAAGTGGAATGCGACTCGCTCAAGGCTGAGGTGCAGTCGGCGCTGCAGACGAATCAACTGGATGTGGATCGGATGAAGCGGGATCTTGGCCATCGCCTAGATGTGGCGACTGCGTCTCTACGTACCCCGAAGTATGACACCGCGCTGCGCTCCATGCAGGATTTGGTTTCCAGCGTGCAGGAGGAGATACAAGAGCACCATGATACGCTGAGCAAAATGATTGTGTCGATAGGCGCACAGGACACATTCCTGCGGGATAAGAGCGATTCGATGCACACAAATTTTCCAACAAGATACCGCGATGAGCTGCGAAAGCTGGATAAAGATCACTTGCTCAATTTACTAGATGTTCTGTCATTTCACGACACTACTGTAGAGACAGTTGGGAAGGCACTCTACGTGCTACAAAAAACAAAGCACAATACAGATGTATTTTGATATATATATATATATATATATAT